AGACATCACTACAGAGTCAGAAAATCACTCCAATTTGATTTCTTACCTATTTAATGCAACACTAATACTTGTGGCAGATTAAGGCATGATATTATTGTATTTACTTGTCCTTAAATAAGAGCAACTCCCACAGACAGCAAAGAAATCATCCCAAACAAGCCTCCTTGTTAAAAAGAATTTGGATGCTCATGGGAAGATGCTTATGTTTTGCAGGACCAATTCTTTCCATAACAGAGCAGCCACAGTTTTAGGATTTAAGCTTTAAGATTATTTTTTTCCATATAGGAACTGTTGCCTATTATTTTATCAAGGTATTATTTTCAGTATATTATTTAGGACCTTCAACCATCATGGTTTTCTCTCCCAGGAATTGGGTGCAGTCCTAAAGGAAACCCCAAATCCTGCATTAACCTCATGCCCTGTGTGTTCCTGTGAGCTGGGAGAAGTGATTGAACCTCTTCCCATGTTTCTTTGTCTCCTGCTGCCAAGAGAGCGGTTGGAGGAAACCCCTTGAGTGTGACCACGTTTGTCCTCTTGGGCTTCCCCAACGTGTAGAAGCTGCTCTTTGGGACTGTTTTACTCATCTCCATCACCATGGTGGTGGGGAACATTATGAAGACCAGCTCTCAGCTTCATGTGCCCATCTCCTTATTTCTTCATAGGAAATGTACTTATTTCCTCCCTAGGATGTAGCTGGCCATTTTGCTCTTCTGGATTGGCCTGCACCGTGGAAAGCTGCAACCATGATGACCTAGGAGCACAGCGGAACTTCATCCCCTGTGATAAGCAGTCACGCAACTTGGTCCAGGAACAGCCTTTCAAGGCACTGCCTGAGCAGTGTTGGCATTTCCTTCAATGTCACTTGGTGCTGACGACACAGATGCTCCATGCTTCTGGCCATATGTTGTATGCAGATGTGCCCAACGTGTTTCATGGCTCAAAGACTCTCAGTGTTGTCCGGAACTACCCTATCACTTCTTCATTTCCTTATGTCTGCCTATCCAGGCCAAGCTTATTTTCCGTCCCAGCTGCAGCTTACTCATGATTTCTCATGCCAGGGTTTGATGGTTGAGTCACATTGGTCAAAGGAGCAATAGTATCTAATAGTAGGTTTCCACATCTGAATTAGTCACAGAAGGTTCCCCTTATGGAGACAAGGATGCATCTGGGGGCTTTGATTCAGCTTGGATCTATTTTAAACATCCATATTGGAGGTTTCTTCTGGAAAAAGTGGATGGTTCTGCTGCCTTTGCAGTGAAGGGTGGTGGGCAGACACAGCTACAATGTGGGTTGTGTTCAGAGCAAACACAGGCCATAGCCTGAAGAGTCAGTTTAAGTCTAATGGGAAACATCAGCTCACTGTGCTGATGTGTTGGGGTCCTTCAGAAACCCCACTCAAAAGTGAGGAGGTGAAAGCAGCTTTGCATACAACCATGGAATGGTTTGGGTTGGAAGGGAGCTTAAAACTCACCCAGTTCCAGCCCCCTGCCACAGGCAGAAACAACTTCCAGTAGAGCAGGTTGCTGCAATCACCATCCAACCTGTCCTCAATCATTTCTGTTGGTCAATAATGTCTAATGCAGTAGAGCCTCAAAGCTCAGCACGCATAAATCACTTCCTGGACAGAATAGGAAAGCAAAATGAATGTTGGCAGTGTCCTGGCTGTGTGTTTGCTTTTATAAAGGTTGCTAATAGCAGATAGTAACTTCCTGATGAGGGGTTTCTATTCTGCATGGATGGATAGGAAATTATTGCCTAGAAGATACTAGTGTTGTTTTGCTCTTTTTAGAGCCATAAGAAAGGAATTTTTCCCCATAAACCTGTGCCTAAAGGGGTTTCAGGAAACATGGAGAGGGGCTTAGGACAGGTGCCAGCAGGGACAGGCGCCTGCAGGGACAGGCCAAGGGGAATGGCTTTAACCTGCATGAGGGGAGACTGAGTTTAGCTCTTAGGCAGAAGCTCTTCCTTGGGAGGGTGCTGAGGCGCTGGCACAGGGTGCCCAGAGAAGCTGTGGTTGCCCCATCCCTGGCAGTGTTCAAGGCCAGGTTGGACACAGGGGCTTGGAGCAAGCTGCTCCAGTGGAAGGGGTCCCTGCCCGTGGCAGGGGTTGGAGCTGGAGGAGCTTTAAGGGCCCTTTCAACACAAACCAGGTTGGATTCTATGATCCAGGCCCATGAAATTGTCCTTAATACACAAACATGCCAACACACTGACCCTCCAACTCCTTGGCTTTGGGCATGAGCCATCCCTGTCAAGCAAGGCAGCTGTAGAAGTGAACTTTGCTGTTAACAAAGAGGAAAGTTTCTTTCTTGTTATCCACAGCTAATTAATCTCTGATGGCTTGTTATGAAGAGTGAGGGAAGTCACATCAAGTTTTCTGAGAAGCTTTTGTGGTGATGAGGAAACTTCCTTGGTAAACCCCAGAAGGTCTTGTTAAAGCTGATGACTCCTGGAAGGGTGCTTGGTCCCCAGGGACCACTTCTTGCTTTGGCAAAGTGAGCAGCATCACTTGTGATGGAAATAGCTGTGAGTGCTTGTATTGTGAAAGCCTGGATCTCGGGCCTGCTGGAGGGCTTTCTGTGCCCATACAAGCTTGGTCCTACTCTCTCTTTAAAGACACATCCCTGTCTTCATGACATGTGCAGATAATGTGGTTCTTGCTAATGGGGTGCTTTGTCCCTTCCTGCTTTTGACCCCTAATAAAGGGAGCTGGGGAAGCTCATTGCATTTCTCTTCACTTTTCAGCCTCTTCAAGGACACTTCATACATTGAATTTCTTGTTATTAGTTGTCTTGGGATGGATTTATTTGTGTCTCTCTTTAGTTCTTTACCTGTTAAAAATGTCCTTAAACTGTTAAACTGAGGCAAGTTGTAGCCCACTACATCCATCCTCCATGTCTGTCTGGCTTTCATAAATGTGATTTTCCTACCATTATGAATTTGGGATTGGAGAATAAACATGGCAATGGGGTCACCTGACTCAACATCAAAAATTCCTTGCCTAGTTTCGAGATAGTCAGGACCCTTCTAGAACGGATGGGAATAAGAGGATGTTTTATTACCTCCTAGGACAGCTGGTGAGGATGGATGTGGTTCAGAGCAGGTCTGAACATCAGAAGGATTTGTACCATGCACCCTCTCTCCATGGTATGTGCATCTCTGAATAGCTTTCTCTGGATTAAATGAATTCCAGTCAGGATGTGAAGGCCTCCTAGAGGTCAAACTGCATCAGCTGCCCCCTCAAACCTATTTTCAGTTTGTTTTAATCCAAAAGACAGGACAAGAGGAAACGGCCTCAAGCTGCACAAGGGCAGGTTTAGATGGAGCTGAGGAACAATTCCTGCCCCAAAGGGTGCTCAGGCATTGGAACAGGCTGCCCAGGGCAGGGCTGCAGTCATCATCCCTACAAGTGTTCACACACTGTGTAGATGTGGCCCTCAGTGCCATGGGTCAGTGGTGGCCTTGGCAGTGCTGGGGTAAGGGTTGGACTGGGTGAGCCTGAAGAATTTTCCAACCTGGTTGATTTAATGAGTCTAAAAGGAGGTACAGAAACACACCTTCACTGAGAACAGGTGGGGACACAAAACTCTGATTTAATGACTCAACTTTTATTTACCTAAATTTGAAGAAGATGAAACTACTGCAGATCTCATAATCCTTCCTCCCAACATTCTTGAAAGCTTTGTTTTAGTTTTCCTTTCAGTTGGACTAAAACTTTATAAAGGAAAAGGAAAAGATAATTGAAGAACTAAGAAACCCCTTTTTCTGCATGTTTTCCTGTAAGTGGTGGTGGAAACTACCAGTTAAGTTTCAGGGAAGGAGACAGATGCAGTGAAATGCTCCAGGTCAGGTTTGGTTGCCCTCATATAGATATGTGGTGCCATTTGCTCTGTCCTGAAGGGCCCAGGACATTGCCATGCCCTCGACATGTACATCATGCCACTTTCCGAAGGGTTTGGCTGCTTTGGAGCAACATCTGAATGCTCAGAGGGAGACCGAGGGGCCCCTCCATGGTGTTAATGTTCAGGCAACTGAAGTCAGTCCCAATTGCCTTTATGCTTCCTGACATGGGTTCATCTAATCTGACCTGCTCTACCTGTGCTCATGTGTATATTTCATTGGGATAATAGTCTAGGACTATGGAATCGTGTGTCTGTGGTGCTGGCATCATCGTGAAGAAATAACTGGGACAGCTCAGGAACAGGCACACGTTACTTCATGACTTCTGGTTGCCCAAAGCAGTGGTAAGTGCTCCATTCCTGGCAGTGTTCAAGGGCAGGTTGGACACAGGGGCTTGGAGCAAGCTGCTGTAGTGGAAGGTGTCCCTGCCCGTCACTGGGGGTTGGGACTGGATGATCTTACTGTACTTTCGAGCCCAAAGCTGTCCATGATTCTCTGACACATGTAGCTCCCGCTGCGCTACTTTTTTGGGCATGAGTAATGAATGTTTAATTCAGATAAAGCACAGTGCAAAGGTGATGTGCAACAATCCCAACTGCTGCTAACATCCCATTTTATAGCAGATATATATTTCATATGGGGAGAGGTGGGAAGGAGAGGAGGTCTGTCCGCACAGTGCCATCTCCTGCTGCAGAATGACTCTAAGAGCAGAACCATAGAGTTCTGGAGGACTGTGCAAGCAAGGCAGGGGGTGGCCCCCACAGGTGGCCGGAGACTGGACCTGGGAGGAGAATGTGGAGGAAGCCGTGGGGGCTAACCAATACTGTTATGCCAAGAAGGAGTGGCTGAATACCACTCCTATATATGTGTGAACTGCGTCACAAATAAACCAGAAGCTGCTTATCACCCATATTGGGTTGGCCTGTCTGCTTCTCCTCGCTGCTTACAATCTCCTGTCCCTCACGATGCACTTCAAGATCAGGAGAGCTTATGCTCCTGCATGGACTGTGATAAGTAACAAAGGAAGGCACAGGCAAGACAAGGTCTGTGCGCTTCTTGCTGTGTGCATCATTAGGGACATAACCCCTGGGTTTCTTCTGTTAGGAAGCTGTCTGTCTCTTCAGCAGTGTCTTCAGTGCCTCCTTCACCTCCTGGTTCCTCAGGCTGAAGATGAAGGGGTTCAGCATGAGAGTCACCACCATGTAAAGCACAGAGACCACCTTGTCCCTCTCCAGCACATAGGAGGAGCTGGGCCGAGTGTAAATGAAGAGGATGGAGCCATAGTAAAGGGTGATGGTGGTGAGATGGGTGGCAGAGGTGGAGAAGGCTTTGCACTGCCCCTCGGTTGAGCACATCCTCAGGATAACAACCGAGATGGAGACGTAGGACATGAGGATGAGTGCAGAAGGGAGGATGGTGTTGAAGGTCAGGATGAAGTAGAGGAGGGACTGGTAGCTGTCTGTCACATCACAGGAGAGCTTTGCCAGTGGAGCAGGTCGCAGAAGAAGTCATCGATGACGTTGGAGTCACAAAAGCTGGGAGTGAACGTGTAGCTGGCAATGAGGGTAGAGTTGGCAAAGCCACTGAGGTAGGAGGTGGCCACCAGCCCTATGCAGAGCTTCTTGGTCATGGCTGCAGCATGGAGCAGTGGGTTGGAGATGGCCACGTACCTGTCATAGGCCATGGCTGCCAGCAGGTAGCTCTCGGTGCAGGCCAAGCCACCGGAGACAAAGAACTGAGCAGCACACCCAGCAAATGAGGTGCTCTTGTCCTCAGAGATGCAGTTCAGAAGTATCTTGGGGGTGTAGACACAGGAATACCAGAGGTCCAGGAAGGACAAATTGCCAGTGAAAAAGTCCATTGGGGTATGGAGGCGTGAGCTATGGCATATCACCACTATGAGGGTGATGTTGCTCACAAGGGTGTGTCCTGGGCTCAGCAGTAGCAGTCATTTTTCTCCTTCTTGGTAGCTGGTGCAGTGCTGTGTTTTGACTTTCGGCCTGGGAACAGAGCTGATAACACTGATGTTTTGGTTTGTCCAAGGACTTTGTGAGCCTCATGCTCTGCCAGGGAGGAGGGGAAGCCAGGAGGAAGCAGAGACAGGACACCTGACCCAAGCTAGCCAAAGAGGTATTCCATACCGCAGCATGTCATGGCCAGGATGTAACTGGGAGTTACCTGGAAGGGCTAGTAGTCTGCATGCAGGGGGACTGCAGGGTTGGAGGAGGTATGGGTCGGTGCTTGGTTGGGCTGGGGGGGGGCTAGTTACTGGTTGGCTGGTGGTGAGGTGATGTATTCTCTTCCCTTGTTATTTCCTTTATCATTGTTATTATTGGTGGTAGCAGTAGTGATCTGTATTATACCTTAGTTACTAAACTGTTCTTATCTCAACCTGGGGGAGTTGCATTCTTTTTGATTCTCCTCTCCATCCCCCCCCAGGAGTAGGGAGAATGAAAGAAGTGGGGGGAGTGAGTGAACAAGCTGTCTGGCTAGGTTTGAACCACAACAGGGTGGTGATGTAGGCAAAGGTGAACACCATGAACAAGAGAAGCTGCAGCCTTCTGTCAGTGGTAAGCCCCAGGAGGATGAAGCTGGTGACTGAACTGTTGTTCCTCTCTTCCATGGTGAAGCAACTGGAGACATGGATCCCAGTGGCTCTTTCATAGCTGCAGTGTGGGGTCTTGATCATGGGCTAAGAGAAGGGCTTCCATGATGCTGGCATTGCTCTCTGTTCCAAAACACAGCTGCACACACAAAAGAGAAAAGCAGAGTAAATTTTGTATTGAGAAGATCTGTTGTGCTGATTTTGGTTGTGCTCTTCTATCGGAGAATGACGGAATGGTTTGGAAACAACCTTAAAGCTCATCTAGTTCCAACCCCCTGTCCAGAAGAGGAGCACCTACTAGAGCAGATTGCTCCATGTCCCGTCCAAGTCGGCCTTGAACACTTCCTTGCATTCCCTAACTTCTGTGAATGGGAAATCTCAATCTCAGTGTCACATGAAATTGCTCATATATTAAGACTCTTTAATTTGAATTTCATGTGGCAGAACTGGAGGTAGAGGCTGAAGACAAATGCATGTAGGGTCACCATCTGCTACAGCCTAACACAGTTTGATTAGATTCATTGTCATCAGTCTTCCCAGTAAAAGCATTGTCTCATTGAGTTTTCTCTTTTGCATGAGCAAACACTGAAGGGTTGGACGTGCACCTAAAAGCCTTAATTACAAGTATATGTATGTTAGGACCTCTGGTTTTAGGCACATTATTGAAAGCAGCAGTTATTCAGTGCTAGTGTGTGTTTGCACAGCTGACTACAGGCACAGAAGCTGGAATTCATCTGACATTGTCCCTTCATCTGTAAGGTCAAGGGACCTGCAAAGGAGATTCAATTTTTGGGAATAAAATGGCAAGATGGATGTAGACAGATCCCCACAGATGTGATCAACAAGATAACAGCAATGTCTCCACCAACTAATAAGAAAGAAACGCAAGCTTTCTTGGGTGCTGTGGGGATCTGGAGAATGCACATCCCAAATTACAGTTCAATTGTAAGCCCTCTCTATCATGTGACTCGGTAGAAGAATGATTTTAAATGGGGCCCTGAGCAACAACAAGCCTTTGAGCAAATTAAACGCGAGATAGTTCATGCAGTAGCCCTTGGACCAGTCCGGACCGGGCCAGATGTAAAAATGTACTGTACACTGCAGCTGGGGAGAACGGTCCTACCTGGAGCCTCTGGCAGAAAGCTCCAGGGGAGACTCGAGGTCGACCCCTCAGCTTTTGGAGTCGGGGTTACAAAGGATCTGAGGCCAGCTATACCCCAACTGAGAAAGAGATACTGGCAGCCTATGAAGGGGTTCGAGCTGCTTCGGAAGTGATTGGCACTGAAGCACAGCTCCTCCTGGCACCCCGGTTGCCCGCGCTGGGCTGGATGTTCAAAGGCAGGGTCTCCTCTACACATCATGCAACTGATGCTACATGGAGTAAATGGGCTGCGCTAATTACACAACGAACTCGAATAGGAAATCTCAGTAGTCCAGGCATTCTAGAAGTCATCATGGACTGGCCAGAGGGCAAAGATTTTGGAATGTCACCAAAGGAGGAGGTGGTGCACGCTGAAGAGGCCCCACCATATAATAAACTGTCAGAAAGTGAAAAGCAGTATGCCTTGTTTTACTGATGGCTCTTGCCGTATTGTGGGAAAGCATCGGAGATGGAAGGCAGCTGTATGGAGTCCTGGACGACAAGTTGCAGAAACTGCTGAAGGAGAGGGTGAATCGAGTCAGTTTGCCGAGGTGAAAGCCATCCAGCTGGCCCTGGACATTGCTGAACGAGAAAAGTGGCCAGTACTTTACCTCTATACTGACTCATGGATGGTGGCAGATGCCCTGTGGGTGTGGTTGAAGCAATGGAAGCAGAGCAACTGGCAACGCAGAGGTAAACCCATCTGGGCTGCTGCACTGTGGAAAGATATTGCTGCCAGGGTGCAGAACCTGGTGGTGAAGGTACGTCATGTAGATGCCCATGTACCCAAGAGTCGGGCCACTGAGGAACACCAGAACAACCAACAAGTGGATAAAGCGGCTAAGATTGAAGTGGCTCAGATGGACTTAGATTGGCAACATAAAGGTGAATTATTTTTGGCCCGGTGGGCCCATGACACTTCAGGCCATCAGGGCAGAGATGCAACATACAGATGGGCCAGTGACCGAGGGGTGGACTTAACAATGGACGCTATTGCCCAGGTTATTCATGAGTGTGAAACATGTGCTGCAATTAAACAAGCCAAGCGGTTAAAGCCTCTTTGGTATGGAGGATGGTGGTTGAAGTATAAATATGGGGAGGCCTGGCAGATTGACTATATCACACTGCCACCAACCCGCCAAGGCAAGCGCCATGTGCTTACCATGGTGGAAGCAACCACCGGGTGGCTGGAAACATACGCTGTGCCCCATGCCACTGCCCGGAACACTATCCTGGGCCTTGAGAAACAGATTTTGTGGCGACACGGCACCCCAGAGAGAATTGAGTCAGACAATGGGACTCATTTCCGGAATAACCTTATAGATATTTGGGCCAAAGAGCATGGCATTGAGTGGGTATATCACATCCCCTACCACGCACCAGCCTCTGGGAAAATCGAACGGTACAATGGGCTGTTAAAAACTACACTGAGAGCAATGGGTGGGGGAACTTTCAAGCATTGGGATACACATTTACCAAAGGCCACCTGGTTGGCCAACACCAGAGGATCTGCCAACAGGGCTGGCCCAGCCCAGTCAGAACTTTTACATATTGTAGAGGGGGACAAAGTTCCCGTGGTGCATATGAAGAATTTGCTGGGGAAGACAGTCTGGGTTATTCCTGCTTCAGGTAAAGGCAAACCCACTCGTGGGATTGCTTTTGCTCAGGGACCTGGATATACTTGGTGGGTAATGCGGGAAGATGGGGAAGTCCGATGTATACCTCAAGGGGATTTGATTTTAGGGGAAAACAGCCAGTGAACTCAATGGTATGCTGTTGCCTGCTGTGTAATGCTTTTATAGCCCATCAACTAGATGTCTCCAGGTCACCAGCGACTGGCCCTGACTTCCCTCCAGCCATCATCCCAACAGAGAATGAACTTGGAACATCATGGACCGAATGGACTCGGCAGCATTATAGGGATTGGTCCATGCACTAAGAAAATGATTTTTTCCTCTTGGTCTGTATGTATATGGATGTATATATGTGGGAGAGCGATGGTGTATTGAAAATGTGGGATCTGAGCACGACGTGAATGGTATGGAATAAGGGGTGGATAATGTCCTGGGTTCAGCAGTAGCAGTCATGTTTTTCGTTTGTGTTAACTGGTGCAGTGCTGTGTTTTGACTTCTAGTTTGAGAACAGTGTTGGTGAAGCCGATGTTTTCGGTTGTTGCTAAGTGATGTTTACCCTGACCAAGGACTCTGTGAGGCTCATGCTCTGCCAGGGAGGAGGGGAAGCTGTGAGGAAGCAGAGACGGGGCGCCTGACCCGGGCTAGCCGGGGAGGTATTCCGTACCACAGCACGTCATGCCCGGGGTGGGGGGTAACTGGGAGTTACCCGGAAGGACAGGAGCTTCCGGGTGGAACTCGTTTTCTTGGCCGGTGGTATCGTATTCTCTTCCCTTGTTATTTTCCCTTATCATTGTTTTAGCTGATAGTAGCGGTGGTGATTTGTTGCTGGACTGTTCTTGTCTCAACCCGTAGGAGTTGCACTCTCTCGATCCTCCTCCCCGTTCCTCCGGGAGCGGGGAAGGGGAGAGCCCCGGTGCAGGGGTGGGGGGAGACGGACACGGACCTTGATTGTTGTCAGCTCGGCACCACTCACTGGGAGTGAGTGAACAAGTTACCTGACTGGGTTTAAACCACGACAATACGTAAGGGTCCTGAAGGTTCGATCCGCCATGTCTTCTGTAGCTCTGGTGCTTCTTAATTCTTGAATGATGTATCCAAGCAGGTTGTTTCCTTTATCTTCACTGCTGTAAAGGTGGTCAGTAATATTGTAGGGGAGTCGTAGAAGAGTCATAGTGTTGTAGAGGAGGCATAGAGGAGTCAGATGGCTAACAGACGGCACATAGAGCAATCTTAGGAGTCATAGTAGAGTCACAATGGGGGTCATAGAGGGGTCATAGAGGCATCATAGTGGCATCATAGAGGTGTCATAGTGGAGTCATAGAGGAGTCGTAGGGGAGTCATAGAGGAGTCATAGAGGTGTCATAGAGGAGTCCTAGAGAAGTCATACAGGAGTCCTGGATGAGTCATAGAGAGGTCATAGAGCAGTCGTAGAGGAGTCATGGAGGGGTCATAGAGGACTCATAGATGGGTCATTGAGTGGTCATAGAGGAGTCACAGAGGGGTCATGGAGAAGTCATAGAGGAGTCATAGAGGTGTCATGGAGGATTCATGGAGGAGTCATAGAGGAGTCATGAAGGAGTCATACAGGAGTCTGAGAGGAGTCTTGATGTCAAAAGTCACAGAGATGTCATCGAGAAGTCATAGAGCAGTCATACAGCAGTAACAATGTAGTCATAGAGGAGTCATGGACGAGTCATAGAGGAGTCATAGTGACATAGAGGAGTCACAGAGGTGTCATAGAGGTTTCCTAGAAAAGTCAGAGAGGAGTCACAGAGGAATCAGAGAGTCATAGGGCAGTCATAGAGAAGTCATAGAGTCATAGAGGAGTCACAGAGGTTTCATAGAGGTTTCATAGAGGAGTCATAGAGGAGTCATAGACGGGTCATAGATGGGTCATAGAGGCGTCACAGAGGCATCATAGAGGTGTCATAGAAAAGTCATCCTGTCCAAGACTCATAGAGGATTCGGAGAGGAGTCATAGAGTCATGGAGGTGTCATAGGGGACTCATTGAGGAGTCGTAGAGGAGTCATAGAGGAGTCATAGTGCTATAGAGGAGTCATAGAGGAGTCATAGAAGAGTCGGGGGCTCATTGATGACTCAGAGGAGTCATAATAGTCATAGTGGAGTCAGAGGGGTCATAGATGCATCATAGAAGCATCATAGATGTGTCATAGAGGAGTCATAAAGGTTTCATAGAGTTATAGAGGAGACATTCAGGAATCATAGGGGAGTCATAAAAGAG